CCCACTTAAGCCACAATATTATTCAAGTTAGTATGGATGAATTTTTTTCCTGTTGGATGTGTGATTTTAATCCATGGCTGAACTCTATGAAACAATATAGCTTATAAATACATAAAAATGAATGCAAAACCATCTAGTAATGCTTACGTTAATCCCTCAAAACATTTTCTGTTGAAAAGCAATATAGCCTTAATGAAAATATATTTTAGGCCTTCAAATGCAAGCAACTACGAAACGATTCTCTTAGAAAGCAAATCCAGGTCTTCTGGGTGAAAAAAATTAGTTTAACATTGCAAGATGTCAATTTAACGATTTTTTGGCGTACTTTTCATGGATATTTTTCTTTCTCTCTCTAAATATGTTTGAAGCTAGCAGCCGATGAGCTCACGTCTCGTTCTTCTTATCGCAATGATAGGTGAAATGCCATCGACCAAAGCTTACTGCCTTGCGAGAACACTTGATAAGATTTTCTTCAAATCATCGAAAAAATAGATTTCGATTTTTTTATTTGGAAAAATTTCCTTCCGATTTCTTTATTTCTCGAAATAAATGATTACTCAAGATCAAAAAAAGCCTTTTTTCAGTTTATACGCATTTAGTTTTTTATTTTTCAATTAACTGTAAGAAACTGGAATAAAAAGAATCGATTTGATTGAAAATTACAATCAAAATTGCTTAATTTCACATGCGCATTTTTTATGCAGGCTTTTATTCGGTTATATACGTAATTACGAGAGAAAATCTGTATTCAACTCAAAATGCATATCAATCATAAAAAAAGACCAAAGATTGCTCTTATGTGTCAGCATGCGAAAAAATGCTCGAGGCTGTTTGAACAGACTTGGGCTACTATGCAAATATACTATTTTGATAGCTCGTGAAATATTTATATTAACTTTCAAAAAAACACAAATTGTACTCAATTGCTATTTCCAGTGCTTTACCGATGTCGGCTTGTATTTCAATTAGAAGAGATGACTAGAGTTCGCTTAGATTGTTTGGATTTTATTAATTTATCGACCACGACATTTTTCGTGCTATCTGTGAATCTGAAGACTTACGAATAGAAATTGTTTTACAATTGTAAAATTGCTAATTCGATTTTGAATATTACATGGCTTTTAAGAATGTTTTTGTTTCATATTTTCACCGAAATTGTATACAATTTTATTGTGATAAAGACCTTTTTTTTGTGTTGAGTAACCATTTTAACATGTGATTGTTCTTTTTTGGTTTAATGTTTTTGCGCTGTGAAGTAACTTTAAATTACCATAATACCACGGTTTATCGGTTAGAAAAAACTAGAAATTACATTTATTTTTCGAATCCACGTTTAAAGTATCTATCAGTATATTTAAATACATTTTTTTTGACAAATGTCTGTTCGTTAAGGGACCTCTCTCACTCTATAACGGACATAAGACGATTCTCGTGAGATTCATGTTTTAAAATGACAAAGCGAAACCAAGATAGAATTTCTAATAACAAAGATCAATAGAAGTGCCATTAATTTTCATGTTTTCACACAAGAAAAGAAATTTCATTAATTTCCTTGTTCGTATTTAGGGTGTTATCTTTCTTTTTTTCATGATTATCTGACAAAGAACAACGCGCAATTACAGTCAAAATGTTGACATTTTCTAGTGTTTACAGCCTGTGGAATCCTGTAGACTCAACAAACTTTAAGTATGTGGTCAATAATTCGCTTTGCCGACTAAAACTTCCATTCCTTTACATGATTTAGATTTCAATCAATTAACTGAGAAAAGGATTCACTATTTTGATAACGATTTCCTTTATACAACATCATGGTTTAACTTTACTAATGGCGCCTCTCGTTTTATTCAATTATCATCGTGGCCAATTTTATACTACATATCTAGATTCACTCATATAAATTACAATGCAATGGACTTAATGCTTAAGATATCAATTAGCTACTTTTGCGCTTTTTTGTATAAACGTTTAAGATAAGCATTTCGTTTACTGAAGTTCAGTCAGTTAAATCGAAGGATTAGTTTTTGTGAGAGATGTTATTAAGTCCATACATTATAATTTTTATCTGCACTTTCTTGTACACGGAAACTTTTTTATCAAATGTAATAGTGTGGCACATAACAGTCATAAGAYGAAAATTGAACTTATCGATTTATATAAACTTATGAATTTATCGAAAGAAATCGAAAGTATCCAACAAACATGTCGTATCATCATTGGCCAAACACATTATACTTGCWGATATCACAGCCGTAAAAAGGAAGCAACTTGTSAAACGTATAGTGTAGAATTGTCGCACGATATCGTATCGTGTCGAAAGATATCGAAGAATTGGTAGTGGAATAGTCAAACAAAGCGTAACCTTTTAAAGAACAAATCGAACGAATTATATTATTGAAAAATTTAAACTGGACGTTTTGTTAAAAACTGAAACGACCTTATTGTGGGTTTTTATGAACTTGGGATTCATGTAAGGAGTGTTCTGTCACGTGAGAGAACAGTGTCACATGACAAACCACAGATTTAATATTAGGAAAAGTGCTATCCGTCTTCAGTTTTTTCATATTAAAAACAGTTGATTCCAGTTTTACAAGTATATGATGGTGCTCAATATTTTTAGACACGCCTACCGATAACGCCCTCTCTCTATGTATTATAGTACGATGTGTTCAGTAATCTTTCACTTTCTACTTGCACAATGCATTTGAACCAGAAAAGATTCATAGTTTTCTGTCCATCCTCTTTTAATGCCTGACACAGAGTTTTTGACACTATTATTAAACATCCCACAAACTCAATTGCAAAAAAAAAAAAATGCCCTTCGTTTTCTCACCCGCTATGATATATTTGCGAGATCTGGTTTCCATACATGAAAAATTCATAATATACTCGAAATCCTCGTCTTTTTKTAGTTTTGCAACAATGGTTGCTATATTTAGAGACGCCAACGAACTGAATTATGAAACGTCGTAACACGATATGTTTGTGGTTCCCACAAACTTCTTATCATCACRTGATCAGATTATAATTTATTACTCTCCAAACATTACAAACCTCGTATTTTCCCTTGTTGCTGGGTTACGGATATGATACCACGCGAGGCTTTTCTACATTTAAGCTAATGCTAGACACTATCTTGGTAATATTGATCAGCTCTGAAACGACACAGCAATCCCAATTGAACTGTTATCAACTAAAGAGGGATCCCAGCACAATTATTACTGATTACAAAAGAACTCCTTACTCCAGTTGTTTACTACAATATAAATAGCAAGATTACATTTTTCTATATGTTAAATTCCTCATCCCAATGGGTGTTGTTTCAAATACACAGGAATCCCACTTAAAGCTATGGAATCGGATATTTCAAGGAGACATGATATCCTATATTACTACTCATCACTATTCCGTGGGTTTCAGTTGCGTAATCAGCATAGTCTTTACGTAGCACCTGTTAACTCAAGAGGCTTAAATAGCCGATAAACGTGATACGTTATAGTCATATGATAATGTACACTTTTTTGTAGATTCGTTTACGTTACTAAAACTTACAAAAAATGAAAAAATGAAGCATAATAATTTTCTTGAAACGCTGTTTTTAAATTGGATTTTATTAAATACTGTCTGATGAGTGCGTAGCACGAAACTCGGAGTTACAGCAAAATCTTAAATACTGTCTGATGAGTGCGTAGCACGAAACTCGGAGTTACAGCAAAATCTTGCCTCTTTGATATCAAATATATAAATTGGATTTTAATTAAGTGTCGTTGCGTAAATGATATCTAGCGTATTCAAGTTCTCCTTTTCACTTCCTCGTTTTCAATACGTCCGTTAGAGTTACGCGTTYAACGTACCGGAAGTGACGTCAGGATTTGTTTTTCTACGTCACAAGGCACCTGATTATGTTCGAGACACTATCTATATTAGCTTTGCGTGTTGAGTTAATTTCCATGTTATTAACTAGAAAGGTGGGTGTTTTCGAAACGTTCACCGGGCTCTTCGCGATAATACATCCCTTTARCTTCCAACGTAGTACGTTATCAGCCCACGTACCTTGGGCGGAYCATGTCATCTCGTCATTTTTAGAACATTCACAGTTAAGGCAATGAATATAAAAACATTCTATTTTAGTCMAGCTTTAGTGGGGTCGATCGCAATGGATGGAACTGAAATAGAAGAGRATTTTGAGATTTCTTTTCTTTTGGTAAATAAGGTAATAGTAAACTGTTATTGTTGGGTCTAAAGTAGAGTGCTTATTTGCTTTGAACGACATTTAACAATTTTGTCATACAGAATTAGGATAATGATATAGGCCTTAAAACCTGGCTAGACTTTTAAGTACTTAAACTTGTTTGATACTTAGAAAAAGGATAGAATAATAGAAACTACAAAATGCAGGAATAATCTAAGTTTCATATTTCTTACACAAATTTCAATTTTGATCGACTTTGACTTTTATCCATTTTCATTGTCCATATTTCACATTTTTCTTAGTCATCCATCTTTTTTTCTATTATAATTATAACATGTTGTTTCGTATCATTGTTCCCGTTTCCTGATGCTCCTTTCTTCCTTTTTTTCACTTTTTATATCGTTAATTTTTAACGCCTCTTTTTTATTCTTAACCGTTTTTGCTAAAAAAAGGAAATAATAAATTTCTAATCGAATCAAACACAGTTCTTATAATCGTTGTTTATTGCCATTTGTTATGAGAAACAAGCCGGGAGGCTAATCGAGTATTTCATTTATCAAAGTGACTAGTTTTTGTTACTTCCTCGATTTTTTGATAGACTTTTTGATAGCACAGAAATACGAGACTTTGAAGATTGGTTCCATTTTTAGAATGAAGTGTTTACCTCAACAAAACGTGTATTTGATATATGTATTGTTAAATAACCAAGCCATATTGTCATAAGTAAGATTTCTTATATATTGTCAATACACTTACGTTTACGCAGCGATTCCTTGCGTATGTTTCTAATTCACGTTGCTTTTCTTTTCAGACGTTTGTTGTGGTTGCMAGTAGGTTTGGTAAACAGTACGTTTACAGATTCAACAAAGCCAAATCTCTATATTTGTTTGGACCTCTACATCCGATAAGAAAAGCAGTCATTCTTTTTATTACAAATCAGTATCCTTTGATGTTTCTTTTTRTCATTRATATCTTTACATCTRCATGTGTTATATATTGAATTTATTGATGAGTACATTGAGTTATCGCACGTCGCTATCTTTTATCCTTCTTCTTTTTTTCCAATCTTGCTTCCGTCGTCATCGTTGTTGCTGCTGCAGTTGTAGTTGTTGCTGCTGCAGTTGTTACTGCTGCTGTTGTTGTTGCTACTGTTGTTGTTGTTGTTGTTGCTGCTGTTGTTGTTGATGCTGTTGTTGCTGTTTTTGTTGTTGTTGCTGCTGTTGTTGTGATATTTTGTTGTTGTTGTTACTGTTGTTGCTGTTGTGCTGGTGGTGTTGCTGTTGTTGTAGTTGTTCTTCTTGTTCTTATTGCTAACAATGTCTATATATCGCGAGATGTCAGAGTACTGTATTGTCATTTTTTAACATTAAGGGCGTAGGTTCCAGTCCACACCATGCTATCTTTGTAGTTGAATCTCTATTGAATTGATAAGTACAATCAATAAATCTATCCTTAATTTTTGATCAGATTTTTCGAATTTTTTATACTTCTGACGATCATAGTGAACTGTATTTTCCTGGCCTTAAGAGATGCACCCGAACAACCAGAGTAAGTTTGATACGTAAACGTACGATTGTTACGTGAATGGRACATCTAAGTTACGTAAAAGCAATATGTGCGCTTTCTCTTGCGTTAATCATGCTTACATTTGTTTTCAAAGGTTTCCAAGTACTAGTTTTAGAAAAAGGGATAAAACAAATTTTCAGAACGTTTAAAGAGTGAAAATAAAAAAGTCGATTATTACGTTTCTCCATATACGTTTACGTAACAATCCCCTAACGTATTTTCTGTTTGAATTAAAATACAATAAGTCGAAAACAAAATTAGCGGGAAAAAACGCACGTGCTTTCACAATCTGTTTTCCCCTGTCACGTTTCCTCTAAAGCTTCTACAGTACAAAGTTCACTGTCACGCGTAATGACGTAACTTACGACGATTAGATGTCGTCATTAGTTACGTTGTATACGACGTCATGTTAACGATATTATACCTAGTAAACGTAGCATGCAGTGATAAACGTGTATGTAGAACGAACCATCGCCCACGTGCAACATACTTTCTTGATGCAGTCACAAAGAAATGAACGAAATCTTACTGCGGACGTCAAGCAGAGACAACGCCAAGGGCGATTCGTCTTGAATGAATCGTGTTTTGTTTTTGAGTTCTAAATAGCATCCGCCATAAATTAAATACAGACAGAAATATAAAGAYTTCTTACTAACTTAATATAAAGTGTTTTTAGAAATTCGATTGCTGTTTGTCTAGCAGTAGGATCGTTGGCTAATTTTCATCATCATTTTATTTCTCAGTTAAAAATTCGGCGCGCGCTTTATAAACGTTARAATTAACTACATAAAGAACCAAGTATTGAAACGAATAACTAAATGAATGAATGAATAAATATCTATCAAATTTTTATGAATGGGATATCACAAGGGAATTGAAATGACAGAGTGATGACAGTAGTCAGTATTGCGTGATGTAATCCTCGTCCAGTTTGTGGTATATAAATGAATTTGTCAGGTGGTTAGCTAATGAGGTAAAAGTGMTACTGGAGGGGTGTTCAAAACAAGTACGTGGTATAGATAAGCCAATATCCCACACGTAACCCATGCTCAATAACTAAGTATGTTGAATATCCCACTTCCGGTGAATAATAGCTGTAAAATTGATTTTTCCTATTTGTTTTCAGGTATGTTTTTGCAGCCATATATACATTCGAAATGTTGCTCAAAATTATCGCTAAAGGACTTGTCATGCACGAATATGCTTATTTACGAGACCCTTGGAACTGGTTGGACTTCGTTGTGGTGATTTTAGGGTTAGTGAAAATCACTTCAAAATCCCGAAATGTCATTAATATGTATATCAATTGTATTAAATTGAATGGTAATTATTCCTTATAATGTTTGTGAACTCGTGGTAATTTCAAATCAAAATTCCACGCACTGGCATCCATTTCTAAAGAATATTAAATAGCAAGTAAACGAGTTTTAGAGTCAAATAACCAACATGTAGCAAACGGTTAACATGGGCTGGCGATGTTTGTAGTGCTTCTTGCACAAAACCAACCCTGTCAATAGTCACACAGTTCATATTTCATATTCCCCTCTATTAACTATGCACAGCTCAATGGCGGGGCTGTAAACATGTTCACTATAAACTGGTCTTAATGCAAGCCGGACAGAACGACGACGGGATCTTTGTTTGGGCCAAAATGGCAGCAATGTCATACTTCTACTGAACAACGTACATTTTTGTGATTTCAGGTACGTTACTCTTGTCCCTAACGTAGCAAATCTATCTGGTATTCGAACATTTCGTGTATTGAGAGCCTTAAGGACGATTTCTGCTGTAGAAGGTAAGAGTTAACGAAACTCTTCGAACAGAGCTTTAGACTAATTTTTAACATCGTCAACAATATGACGGAACTCGGGTAAACTCCGATCTATCACTCAGGAGCCGGTTGTGCGAAGTGTGAGTAAAGTTGTCCACTGAATAGATCTTGGTATGGATTTTATCTGTTGGATAAGGTTTTATCGGGTGTATATTGCTACTAAGCCTTTGCACACCAGGCTCCAGGAAATTTCTTGATCATTTACGGTTGCGAACTAAGAATAAATGGCCGTCAACTATTTTTTCTCTGTGTGTGTGTTTTTGCTGTTGTTGTTGTTGTTGTTGTTTTTTTTGTTTTTTTTTGTGGTTATCTTCCTGTGTCTTGCATCGTACTTTATCCATATATTAGATATTCTCCCAAACTTGGCCTCCCCCGAATACCACTCTCATGTCCACCCTTGGGCTCCCTTTGTGATGTCTGCTGAGGAGGATATCAGTTTTCTTTCTGTATTTCAGGTCTYAAAACAATGGTGAACGCACTGCTCAAGTCCATGAAGATGTTGTCTGATGTTCTTATTCTGACCACGTTTTTTCTGTGTGTATTCGCACTGGTTGGAATGCAGCTTTTTGTAGGATCTCTTCGAAATAAATGTGTTCTTAAACCACCACTCAATACAACCATCGATTATGATTCATTCGTAACAAATGAAAGCCACTGGTATCATCATCCAGACACTGACACGCCTATCACATGTGGGAACTAGAGTTTCATTTGAGTTTTGTATTCGCACTGGTTGGAATGCAGCTTTTTGTAGGATCTCTTCGAAATAAATGTGTTCTTAAACCACCACTCAATACAACCATCGATTATGATTCATTCGTAACAAATGAAAGCCACTGGTATCATCATCCAGACACTGACACGCCTATCACATGTGGGAATTCTACAAGTGCCGGGTAAGCACAGGCTTATGCACATGCTTACGCACAGGCTTACGCACAGGCTTACGTAAAGAAAATAGAGAGTTTGAGATTCACGTTTACTGCAAACGCCAATCGTCAAATTGGCTTTTATGCTTCGTCTCAAAATTTCAAACAAACGTAAAAACACTTTGAAAGGAATAGTCATGCGCTTATGCACGAAAAAGTGATCTATTTTATACACAATCGCGAAAGAACGGAGCGTTAATACAGAAAAACAGTGATCACGTGATCAGTGATCTAAAACTCTCTACTTTTTATAACTTATKTGGTGACTTTKGTGTCWTTTTTCTTTYCTTTTTTTAGTCCTTGTCCACCAAATTACACTTGCTTAGCAAACATAGGGAATAACCCGAACTACGGTTATACTAATTTCGACAACTTTGGCTGGGCTGTTATCACTGCTTTCCAACTTGTTACTCTGGACTATTGGGAAAATGTGTATAATTATGTAAGTATTAGTTTTCTTTCATTCATTTATTCTTTCTTCCGTTTGTTCATTTATCCATTCATTTATTGTTATATTTCAAATATTCTGTATTGATAACAGGTTCTCTCTTCCATGGGATCTTGGTACATTTTCTATTTTTTCATGGTCATCTTCTTTGGCTCGTTTTATCTGCTTAATCTTGTCCTCGCCGTTGTAGCTGTGTCATACCAACAAGAAGTACTTGCGTTACAAGATAGGGTGAGTCACGATGTCACGTCATAATACCTTGCGCGACTAACACGTTAATTGTGTGACAACACTTTTAGAAAAGCCCTACGTCATTATAATTTCACAACCAATAGTTTTATGKGAGAATATTTTGGAGAAAACATTTTGAGCTACTGTATTGGAAGTTTTTGATCAAGTCAATCGCATTTCCATTTATATTATTTTCTTATTTCCTTCAGTTCTCATTCCACTTCTCATTTAATCACGTTTTTCTTTTTTTTTCTAGGAAAACTACTACAATAATTTAAAGGGAGTTGCGTCWTTGTACTCGTTCCATGGTTGCGTCGTCCCTAAACTTCTACGTAACAGCAAATCAAAGACCAAATCACTTGCGAGCAAATGTAAAATGTCCTTCTGCGTGCCCTGTTTTTCTATTGGTAAACAACCCGAACACAGTAACGGTCACGCAAGTGACAATGAAAGCAGTCACGCAAGTACAGGCGGAACGATACGTGTCGATAGTACGGCGATAGAAATGAAAATGTTRAATGACAAGAATGAGGTTAGAACTAATGGSCATTCTTTACCAGAACCGAAGACTTCGTCCTTTTTCTCTGTTAGCAGCGATAATTCAATACATATACGAATGAACAGCTCTACAGAAGYCATGCCACAGACTTCTAAGTTTGATGATAATATTTTAACAAAGACACTGGACGTAAAAAGCTCATTCYTGCGGAAATTGAGCGCAATAAGTGAACAGTCTTCGACAGATGGCGTCGATAATAATGAAAACATCAAWAATACGCAGCCGCAAAAATCCGTGAGTTTCATCGCGCGTGTTYTAACGCCTCGCGGATCACTCGCGAGGCAGACAAGTACAGGCAGTGCAACCCACCATAAGACCATAACRAAACAAGATACAAAATGGAATAGAATAAGAAGAATGATATCAAAGATCGTACTTCACGGGTACATGGATACTTTCATTACGTTTTGTATCATGGTAAATACATTATTCTTATCGCTGGAGTATCACAATATGGACAGCAACTATCTGATGGTCTTGGAAATAGGAAATAAGGTATGAATCAAACAACCATGTGGGATATATTTACAATACATATTACGAGCATGCGCAAACGCTATTCTATACTGATTCATTGCGTTTCACAGGTATTTACAATGGTGTTTCTGCTGGAGATGATTCTTAAGATCACAGCTTTCGGTTTCAAGGGTTACATCAAGAGTCGCTGGAACATCTTCGACGGTTTTATAGTTGTTATCAGTATGGTAGACTTGATGGTTGAACTTTTGGTTGACGATCATGACTCTGGACTTAGTGTTCTAAGAACTTTTAGATTGGTAAGTCTGTCAATCTGTCTGAGCTACCTTACGTTTACGTAACAATGAATTACGTTTTGTTTACGTACGCTTACTCAATTTTTACTTTGCCGTTATGGTTGCGTAACATTGCCGTTATGGTTGCATAACATTGCCGTTATGCTTGCGTAACATTGCCATTATGCTTGTGTAGCATTGCCGTTATGCTTGCGTAACATGGCCGTTATGCTTGCGTAACATGGCCGTTATGCTTGCGTAACGTTGACGTTAAGTATAAGTAATGCTTACGTAACGTTTTCTTGTTGTCTAGCTTCGTGTGTTCAAGTTGGCTCAGTCATGGCAGACAATGAACATGTTGCTTAGTACTATTGCTCGTAGCGTTGGACAATTAGGAAACCTCACGCTAGTCCTAGGGATTGTCATCTACATGCTTGCGGTTGTTGGTGTACAACTTTTCGATCAATATTACACAACCAAGAACTTTAATGGGGATGTTCCTCGGTGGAATTTCACGGATTTCTGGCATTCATTCATGATGATTTTTCGTGTTTTGTGTGGTGAATGGATTGAACCGCTGTACGATTGCATGCGGGCGAGTACTTCATGGGCCACTTTGTTTTTCCTTACGACTTTGGTTATAGGCAACTTTCTGGTAAGTTAAATGGCCAGCATATCGTGCTCAATAGAGAACTTTACCATCGTTTTTGATGGAAATCAATCAAGTGTTCCTGTCTCTTCTCTAAAGACATTTACATTGTCATTCTACTTGACGTTTAGTTGTTATTCAGGGTCGGATCCAGGGTTTTCCTCAGGTAGGGAGGGGTGCGGGGCTCTCAGGAGGGGGTGCACCCCACAAAAATCATTACCATGAAGATACAAAATAAGGAAAGTATTGAAGGATACAGATCTCAAGAGGGGGTGCACCCCCCATACACCCTCCAGCTGGATCCGCCCCTGTTATTATTGGTTAAACTGCTTCTTTGAACATTTCAATGTTTGACAAGGGTACTTAATCAAATTTACATTTCCACARATAACGTCATGTAATGTTCAACGAAATGCATTATGGGATTTACCATGATGCTCTTCGCCAACATGACGTCATTAAACGGCAAAGAACATTTTGTATTATAAGCTTTTTTTGTTTCCTGTCTATAGGTTCTCAATCTATTTCTTGCGCTTTTGCTCAACGCCTTTGCTCGCGAGTCTCTTGAACAAGAAGCAAAGAAGAAAACCAAAAAACCGAGCAAGTTCGCTCAAGGCGTGTCTAAACTCAGTAGAGCGTTGCGTTTCCGTAGTACTGTCTCTAAGACYACTCAGGTWCTACCAACAATCCGCGTACATGACGGCGAGAATGCAACGGACGGTGACAAGGCACCTACTGTACAGAATGGTCTGGAATCCAAAACGTCAGGTAAGCACGTCTAAGTTATCAAAGTAATTTAAACTTAAAAGTCATGATATATGAATATGAATTAGATTAAGACCTTCTCTCACGTACTACTATATTGATATCATGGCTTTTCCTTCAGCAGATTCTGCAATAAGTACCTCTTCTAATGCTTCGAACGCCATGATTAGTGCTGTGACTGCATTTCAACAAGGTAACAAGAAAGGAAAACTAAACCGAGACACATTCAGACGGGTATGTATCCATTATGAACTACCATTCATTTAAATTACTGGGTTTTTTTAATCTATATGTTATTATCTCTTCCGCAGCTTTCGTTAGCAATTGAAACAGCAAATAGCGACTCAAATACCAGTAATGTATTAGCAATGGCTGCCTCATCGACCTCAATYRCTGGTCGACAAGATCATGGAACATCAGATCCGCCAGATCCTCCCATGACAGAAGTTGATGAATGTTGTCCCTGGTGCATGAACAAGATGACTTGTGGTTGTATTACGAGATGGAAGGCTAGTGATGGTTATCGMTCATGGAGGAATCTTAGACTKGCCGTTAAGAAGTTTGTTGAGCATAAGTACTTTGAATGGACGATATTAGCTATCATCATGGCAAGCAGTATTGCTTTGGTAAGTCCATTTTTTTTTTGGTTTGGTGGTCAAATGAATGTTTCTTATTTTTCTTGGTTGGTTGGTTGGTTGGTTGATTGGTTGGTTGGTTGGTTGATTTGATTATCTGGTTGGTTGCGATAAATATAAAGTGTTCACCTTTATTTTTTATTCAATCCTAGACATTCGAAGACATAAACCTGCCTTCTCGTCCAAARCTCAAAGAATACCTTCAATATCTCAACATATTCTTTGCCGTCACCTTCAGCATTGAATTCTTGCTTAAAGTATTGGGACTAGGAGTAGTTTCTTATTTCAGGAACTGCTGGAATTGCTTAGATGTTCTGATTGTATTTGTAAGTCCTTTRAATCAATCATTCGGCCCATCAAGCAAGCAATATTTATCGTCCTATCTGTTCACTTGTTTCTCCAGGTTTCTGTATCGAGCGTGATCGCAGATTCTTCTAACCAAGACAGCAGCCTGTCGTCTTTACGATCATTGAGGACACTTCGCGCTTTAAGACCGTTGCGAGCCATTTCAAGATGGGAAGGAATGCGGGTGAGTTCAATATGAATGCAAACGAAGTAAACATGAAAAACATGGAAATGCCATAGTTTTTGAAGTACTGAACTGTACATGATAGCTTAACATTGTAATGGATATTCTCAACATTGAAATGGCTTTCCGAACGTTGTGATGGCTTTGCTAGCATTGTGATGGCTTTCCGAGCATTGCAATGGTTTTCTCAGCATTAAAGTGGTTTTCCATTGTTTCCAGGCAWTGATTCCAAATCGTATTGTTTTGCAGGTTGTTGTTAATTCTCTGCTGTTTGCAATTCCTGGCATTGGTAATGTGTTACTGGTCTGTATGGTATTCTGGCTTATCTTCAGCATCATGGGCGTACAGTTTTTCGGTGGCCGATTCTTCAAATGCGTCGATAACAACAAAGAAAGGCTTCCTATCAGCATTGTGCAGAATCGATCCGAGTGCATTCAGAAAGGCTATCGTTGGGTGAATTCTGATATCAACTTTGACAATTCTTTGAATGGATTCATGGCACTTTTTCAAGTGGTATGATTTGATATGGGTTTTCCTGTGCAATCTACCTTTGTAATTCATAATCTMTTGAAACGTCATATTTCGACACGACTAATTTATCACCTCTTTGCCCTCAGTGTATGTTAGTACCACATTTCTATGACTTACGTTTTTAAATGTTTTTTTAGGCAACATTTGAAGGTTGGATTGAAGTCATGAGAGACGCAGTGGATGCTAGAGAGGTCAGATACCTTACCTATTGTGTTAACATCATTTTTTCATCCTTTTATTCATATTTTTATTTTCTATGTCCAGGTTGACCAGCAACCATCTGATGGTTACAATTTTTCAGCCTACGCCTAYTTTGTGGTGTTYATYATCGTTGGGTCTTTCTTTACCCTCAATTTGTTCATTGGTGTYATCATTGACAACTTTAACAGGCTCAAGAAACAGGTAAAACTTGTTTGKCACTTGTTTTTGAGTTTTTTGAATAGTATCCTGCGTMAGTTCAGACAGGTTAATCTTGTTCTTCTGACCTCTCGTTTACCCTAGAAGCGCTCTTAGTATTGTTTGTCATTGTAAAAGTATTGATGTTAGTATGATGATGAATAATGTTGTTGAGTATTGACATACTCTTTATCCCCCTACAGTACGAGGACTTTGGTGCTCTTGATGTATTTCTGACCCCATCRCAGAGGGCGTGGTTTGGTACGATTAGAAAAGCTGCCACCAAGAAACCAAAAAAAGTYATCAGTAGACCYGAGGTAAGATGCYTCTCCAACACCACGTGTYGCCACGCCCTTCTCTTAACATTCTTAACAATCAATTTGCAGGAAGTCATGTTATGAATAGTAAATTTGTGCTCCTGATTGTAACACTCCGATTCCCATCCCTCTTTTCCTCMCATTTCTTTTCCAAAATTTCTAGTTCTGAATTTTAGTTATAAATGTCTCCTAAATACTGTATCTGTTCATCAYTAGTTGATGTATAGCAACAATCGCTTTTYCCCTCCTATGATCTCAATGTGCTTRCATTCTAAYGCGTATTTTGTTGTTATAGAATTCATTTATGGCGTGGTTATTTGACGTGATCCACAGCTCACGATTTGAGACATTGATCATGTTTTTTATATGTCTCAATATTCTTGTCATGATGATCCAGCATTATGGACAGAAACCAGCCGTAGAACAAGCGTTGAATATCCTTTTAATACATATAGTATAAYGCTTTTTGATTTATTATGATCCAATATGATCTCTTGTGATCGCATATGATCTCTACAATGATCTCTGTTATCTAATCAGTATAATACCATACAATTTCCAGAGATCTCATACGATCTTTTACCGACTCTTAACTTTAACTGATCCCTATTATCTCTAATGATCTGACCCTTAAGATCTCTTATGATCCATATTTTGTCTTGTGATCCCATTTCTTCTGTTGTGGACCCAAACGACAATACAAAAAATAGATTGGACGCTTTTAGGTGATTTAGGGCCAGGATTAAGGCTATGAATCATTTTATGTATCTCAATGTGTTATTTGTCTTGACTAAAGCCTCGATGTTCGTGGCTATTACTGATCATCAATCTAGTATTCACTGGTTTATTCACTTTGGAAGCCATTCTAAGGATTGTAGTACTGAGACTGCATTACTTCAGAGAGCCGTGGAACGTCTTTGACTTTGTTATAGTCGTTCTCTCTATTCTTGGTAAGCCTGTGCTTTATTGTTTATGGTAAAGAGTTATATTAATAACTAAAATCCGTTGAAAATCACAAGCGGGGTTGAGCTCTGCGCAATGATATAAGAATGTGAATATTACTTTACTATATGCTCTGTTATGGTTGTTTTTAAACTGTTCTCTATGAAAAGATGAACACTGTTGTTTTCATATRCCTCCGACATAACGAACCGTGTTAACGTCAATCATTACACGTGACCATGCCTTGTTCCCGTTCGTTGTCCGAAACTACAAACCTTTTTTATTCAACTTTCTCATTCATACTCTTATGTTATTATATATTATCATTGCCAGGAATTATTCTTGAACATCTTGAGTATGAACTCTTCATCACACCAAGTCTGTTTCGCGTTGCACGAGTCTTTCGTATTGGTCGTCTTCTTCGCTTCTACAAAGGCGCCAAAGGCATTCGTCGACTATTGTTCGCATTGATAATCTCTTTGCCTGCTTTGCTAAATATCGGAGCACTTCTGTTTCTCATTATGTTCATATATGCGATTATTGGCATGTCATCGTTTGGGTATGTAAAGAAGACAGGCGCCCTGGACAGCGTGGTCAACTTTGAGACATTTGGAAATAGTATGTTATTGTTATTCAGGCTTTCAACGTCTGCAGGGTGGAATGATGTGCTGAAACCGTTATTAATCAAACCACCAGATTGCGATAAAAACTATGGYGGTATTCCTAATGGTAACTGCAGTACTCCCTGGCTAGCGGTCGTCTACTTCACCACATTTATTTTGTTTACATTTCTTATTATTATTAATATGTACATCGCCATTATTTTGGAGAATCTCAGCCAAGCACACGAGCAGGAAGAAGTTGGAGTTACCGATGATGATTTAGACATGTTTTATTATCACTGGGAACGATTTGACCCTGGAGCTACTCAATACATACCTCATTCAGCGCTCTCAGACTTTGTCGATGGTCTTGACCATCCACTTAGGATACCACAACCAAACAAGTTTGCCTGTATCAATCTAAACATTCCTATTAAACAAGGGGACAGGGTGCATTGCTTTGATGTCATGCAAGCCCTTGTTCGACGAGTTCTTGGCGACATCGAGGAGGACGGTCTAGGCAGCTCTAGTGTTGCTTATACTCTAATGAAATCAAAAATGGAGCAACATTGCATAAGTACATTTCCAAAACGCCACAGGACAAAAACTGAAAGTACAACATTAAAAAGAACGCAAGAAGTCAGAGCTGCAACAATCATCCAAAGATGCTTTCGACAATATTTATTYAACAAAGAACTCAAAAGATTTCGATTGGCAAAAAGTGTCGATCTTAACAACAGAAGACGAAGCTCGAATGTCGAACCGATGCCTCAAGTTATCGAAGTCAAAGTTGAATCATCCGATAATAGACACGAGAAAACGTCTATAATCTGACCAGCAAACGACACTGATCGACACTGATCGACATCATTCAACATTGGACGAACTTTTCTATATTTGTCTATATGTATAAATCCAGGAAGTCGCTGACTATCAAGTTGTTGCGTCTAAAAGACGACGACTTTTAATCTTTTATACAAAATAACAGATAAAAATGTACAAAATTAAGACATAAAAACAATTTCATTTGTATATTCTTGATTTCCCAAAAGATGAGAAATCTTGCAAATATTTCTCCAGATAAAACCAAATGTATAAATTCAAAGAATTTCATTATTTTTCGCGGCACGTTGTAGAGTCGCCGATAGAGAGGAGATATTTTCTAATTTTATATCCACGTGACTCAACAAATAAAGAATATACACTTTTGTACAGAAATCAGGTGTATTGTTGTTATGTTGAAATAGTTTGTGCAAAGCCTTAGTCATAAGAGATCGATATAGGTTCGCTGTCTCCAACCTCAACAAGAGTATCTTTGTCCTTTTAATCTAAGAGAAATTAWTGCGCTGCACAATAAACTTATAGSTTCGCATATGAAATAGTTTTCGCGTCAAATGATCGTGAAAACTCCAGTTTTRGAGAGAATTGATGGGTTGATCAGCGTCTTTGCATAAGCAATAATTGCATTCTAAAAAACTTAAAACTTTCGTAGATTATAGTTCTCAATAAGTACGTATGATATTATTTTGCAGGGTTTTTTGTTTTAATGCTAACGAGAAATGTGTAAAAAGATGTACATAGTGTCAAACATTAGTATATCAGCCTACACTGAGTGACATTGATTTGATTTACAACCTAGTTATGGCTATTACATAACGATCTCTAGCTGTGTTTTTTTAATGTGTGTGTGTGTGTGTTTTTTTTTTCGGTAACGCTAAACACGTGGATGTTGCATAACCTTTTGTGTGCATCACTTTTCAGTTGACGTGCGTGAAAGATGCGCGACTGCGATATTGGCCCAAACCAAACTATTCGAATCTTAAATGGTATTCAACTGTTTTTTTTTTTTTCATATCTTATTTAATAAACCTGTAACACATACACAGTTTAGACCTTACTTTTCATCAGTACACACAATATCAAYATGTTTTTTGACCTTTTTTTAAGAWGCAGACATGCGTGACAACTTTCAATAGCACCGACKTATTCACTTATCGATGAAACGGTTGTATAGCGAAGCATTTGCAGCCGCTTGTCTCTCTTAAGTGGTGTCTCAAAGGTCTATGTTAACTCTGATATTCYAATTTTGTCCAAAAAACTGAGAACATTRTGAAAGAGAAAACAYGAGAAAAAGGCGTGAAGATCAAAGTTGTAGTGTCGCACAATCCTTGACGTTATAAGACTGCGCGCTCTTATTGAATTGATAAGGTCAATGGACACTACTGTTGAAGGAGAGATGATGGTATCGCAGGGAAAAAGGACGCATTTTGACGACGTTTTCCAATGGATCCACTCGTTTGGATGGTATCAACGTGCAGTTTTTGTTGGGGTTAACTTGATACTGTTGCCAGTAAGTCTACAATTCATGCTGCTCGTGTTTGGGACTGGAACGCCAAGGTTCCATTGCAGCTCGCCTAACTCGACCTGTCCTGAAAATAAGTGTTGTGAGAACTGCACATCTTACGAATTTGATGGGCCTTTCACAAGTGCTGTTTCAGAGGTATGTTAGCTATTGTTATTTGTTTTTCATATAAAATATTTATCCTGATTTTTGTTTTGTTAACGTGTTGTTTGTGAGTCGTTTGTCTTCGGAAATGCGATCTTTGTTTTTAATATAAGACGTATATATGAGCTATAGATATATTTGATGTATCGTAGAAATYACTGCATGTAATAGTAATTTGGTCGTTTAACTGCATTAATCCTGAGATAATTATCTCTTTGACTGGGAACAATCCAGTACGTATCGTTATGCAATACCAATATAGTACAATAGTATGTATGTTTGGGTTTTTTGACACTTGTGTAATACTATCGGGGCCCCAAGTAGTATAGGTTACAGAGTCGAGTCGAGTGTCGAGACTTACATGTCAAGAGTTCACAAAATAAGGATATTGCTTTTTACATTGCATTTTTTAGTAAAATGCTGCTACTTTCTTGTTTTTTTTCGTCGTCAGTTTTTTTTCACAATGTCGAAATTTTGGCTTCGGTACATCTTCGTAGCCAATCACATTGTGAATTATATATCCGGTAGCCAATCACAACTCGACTGCATTGGCCAATCAGAAATAAGGATCTGCTCTAGMTGCAACAATTATTTTGATGCGAGACGATTTTACTGCTTGTATGACCGTACCTTTACATGGGGCGATGGATTTAGCTTTCTTTGAAAGATTTAACAGCATGTTATCGATCTCTATTAACCCTAAATCGTTGAGATTGGTTGATGATAGATTGATGCTATTTTAACGCAGTCTCTTATGTTACAATGGCATCCTCGGGATACATGCCTTCTCAGTCTACCAATCCATTCCCGTCCATTGATGTTTTATCATTTCTCAACAGTGGAACTTGATATGTGATCGCGCTCATATCGGTGCCTCTATCCAGTCTTGTTTTTTTATTGGTATGCTACTGGGTTCTATACCTGGTGGGTGGGTATCAGACACGTTTGGTAGAAGAACATGTTTATTAGCCAACCTTGCTCTTATGGTGAGTATTGTTCGGGTTCCCTGTATACACAGGTATCCCAAAGTTACATATATTATTCTAATCTCTTGTAGTTTGTATTTTCTGTGGGTTCATACTTCGCCGACTGTCCTTCCCTACTCGCCTTGCTTCGTATGGGCGTTGGTTTCTTTCTKGTTCCCGTCATGCTTTGCGAGTACGTATTCGTGATGGAGATCATTGGACCAAAATGGCGGACGTTTTGCGGAAAATTCCAAGACACGTTTTGGGATTTAGGAGATGTCACTTGCTTTACTTTTGCGTTTTTGATTCGCGACTGGAGGATGCTGGTTTTGGCRAGTACGTTGACTGCTATCCCSTTTCTACTCTGCTGTAGGTATGACGWWATTTTGATTGTATTCAAGGACGAGTTTTAGCTTTGCTTGTTGAAGGATATGTAAAGCTCGTATCAGCAAACTATTCTCGATTCGCTCTCTCTGAATTAAGATGGCTGGTCTAGAACCCGGATCATCGGATCGCGAGAAAATTATCTGACAATGGCGCTAGCCTCATTCTTAATTTTTTTTAAGGATCTTTCCAGAGACTCCACGATGGTTAGTTGCGCATAATCGACTAGATGAAGCTGCTGACCAGCTTATGAAATATGGTCAAAAGAAAAACAAACAAACTGATCGCCAACAGATCATACAATTGCTTACAAATGTCAAAGAAGGCGACGATGAATTATTGAAAACAGACAACAGAAAATATACTCCACTGGATTTGTTTAGAACTCCAAAGATGAGAAAGAGGACTCTGATCCTGTGCTATGATTGGTAAGATAAGAACCACTAAGCCATGTGGGATGACCTTGAAATTTGTACTGAGCATGCGTAATAGGTAAACTAGGAGTCCTCATGGGAACGACGCAGAAAGACTACACTATGGTCTTTGACAAGGGCTTAAGTTGGTATAGTTCTCTGTCAGTCGTTCGAGTGCTACCTATCGCGCATAATCTGACTTGCTAGCAATGGACATATCAATATAATAGTCAACTTTAGATATTTTGGTTCGATGACTATGTACAAAAGAACGCACACAAGGCTCCGGGGAAACAATGGATAATCTTGATTTATTCTTTTATTTCCCCGGAGCCTCGTCTGCAATTCTTTTGTGCATGGTCACTGAACTAAAATATCTAAAGTCGACTATTGAGTTTAAGGTTTCAAATTTCTTCTAGTTTATATTATCTTTGCTCGTGTTGCAGGTTCGTAATTTCCATGATGCACTTCGGGTTCTTTTTGTACCTGACAACGTTGACTGGCGACATTTACGTGAACTTCMTAGTGATGGGTCTCCTTACAATACCAAACCTTCCTATCTCCTACTATTTGATGAAAGTGTAAGTGACCCAGTCTCAAAAACATGAAGGAAATAAGATGAAGAAAACATGAAGGAAATATGAAATGAGTAGRAGATTAATTGGGGACGGAGGGATAAAAGAATGGAAGGCAGGAATGAACAGATAGCTGTTTAAATAACTAGATAATAAATAAAAAGATGACAGAATAAATAAATTCTTAGATTAATCGACAGATCGTTGGATAAATGAAGGGGTGAAATACGAGAATATTGAGGCAACGTCGCCATTTTTTATAGTCCTCGTACTTATTATACCTAAAGATAATTCCCTAAAAGTTGTTTTCATGTTTACTTTGTAACCAGAAAAACTACTTCTATTTTTGCTGAGAAAAAGCAAAACGGCTTAGAAAGATTGCAGACATGAAAGGACTAGMTCTGCCATCATGCTTTGCTAAACAAAATGGCGTCGTTGCGTTCGYATTGACTATTAAAATCTGTTGTTCTTTACAGGTTGGGTCGTCGATTGACATTCATTGGGTATTTGCTAGCTATTGCTCTACTGTGTCTATCTGTACTCATCGTACCAAAAGGTAAATATTAAAAACAGTAAAACAATCTGTGATATTCAAAATATAATAATGTGTAATACACTGAAAAGACAAAGAAAAACATGTAAAATGAAGAGCAATAAAGTATGGTATATTGTTATTAAAAATAATGATTTTAATAACCCTGTGAAATAAACAAAACATTGCACTTTTTACTCTTTAATCTCGCTCGTTTTTCTTTATATTTTCAGTGTTTTCACACATTATTATACTTTGAATATTACAGATTGTTCTAAGGTAGAACCACTCAGTTACTATCACATTCTCTTTAATTGATGTCCTCTATAATTATTGATGTACAATATTTTTTTCATCGCAGAAGAGAATCTCCCTCTTCTAATTATCGCTCTGGTAGGAAAATCGTTTCTTTCCTGTTCTTTCAACAATGTCTATTTGTACACTTCAGAGCTTTATCCAACGGTCATAAGGTATGTTCCTCTAAAAAAGACACGTTTATTTTTGTTCTCCTGTTTTTCTGTTGTTTTTTTTTTCTTTTGCTGTCTTCTCAGATAGAGAAGGAATTCAAACAAATCATTTCCTACCAAACCATTTCTGCTACAAAGTGATTTTCATGACAAGATTAGTATGTTTTTTTTTTAATTTTAATTTACAAATCTCAAAGGATAAAAAGCTATTTACACAAATTTAGAAAAATCTAAGAAAAAAAAACACAAGAAAAACGATGAACTATACACAAATTAAGAAGATTAGATTAGTATGGTTGAGAGTTACGAGTAGACTTCAAAATCACCTATGTTATTGATTGATTTTTTAGAAATCTAGGCATCAGTGTTGGGTCAACCTCTGCTCGTCTAGGGGCCATTCTATCACCCTATCTTGTTATGTTGGTGAGAAGACACCGTTTTGTAATGTTACTATATATCAGTATTACCATACTAGCGGACTATTGCAAATCCTTCGTCCTGATTGGCTACGCTACTCGGGGTCTATTTTCAATAGTCCTCGACTAGCGAAAAGCGACAACATTTTGCGAATTTTTAGCAATAAAAACATTTCGTTATTTATATATTTAATTCACTTTTTGTTCAACTAGTATGGTAATACTAAAACAATTAGATCTCTCGGCCTCGTGGGTTACGAACTGATCGGCCATTCAGCCGTTGTCCTCATGGGCTAGCAGCTCGTAAATCCACTCGCCCTCGACATTTAATTGTTAAATATACGTGTTTGTGCAGTCTTTTTTTAAATGTCTCTCTGTGTATAACAGAACAACCTAATGTGGATCTAGTTGAGTTTTCTTTGTATTCTTTATTGTTGTGGTTCTAGTCCATAAGTGAGTTATATTTTTAGTTGTTTAAACCGTGCTTTGGTTTTCCATTTCGTAAACGAACAAAAACCTATGATTCTCTTCTCTTCTCAGCCAGATTGAAACATGATCTCCTATACACAAATAGTAATGAAACATATAGTTATGATGCCAAGAAACATGATATTCCCGTTGTAACCTTACTCATTCAATCGATTTTTGATTTCCGTTTTCAGTCCCAATTGCCCGGTCTTAGTACGACGTTACCTATTGTCATATTTGGTGTGTCAGGACTTCTTGCTGTTCTACTGTCTGTCATGCTGCCCGAGACAATAAACTCTCCCATGCACCAGACCATCGAAGAAGCAGAGTCACATAAAGACTCGTATTCTGYTCMATGGAAGTTGAGAAAAAGAAAACCCATCGAAGGATCTCAAATGGAAATAACAGAATTGTAGAAAGAAAAAAMCTACATCACTATCTCTCATCCCTCAATATTCAACAATTTATAACTAGAGACATATAGCACTAGRCTTCCACCGATGCAAAATAGMCTTCACTACACACACATTMTCACCAAACAAGTACATCGCCAAACAATAGCAATAAAGCAGAACCCCAAAACTCTGTCTATCAAATTACATCAAAAATCTCAGTTATCAGCGCATTTTCATGGCCTATAGCTTATGCGTTTTTGATCAAAAATCGGTCATTTTTGGCCATTTTGGTGGGCTATAGCCCATTCATTTTGATCAAAAATCGGTCAATTTTGGCCATTTTGGTGGGCTATAGTACACGCATTTTCATCAAAAATGGGTCATTTTGAGCGATGTTGGTGGTCGCCGCTATAGTCCATGCATTTTGGTCAAAAATCGGTCATTTTTGGCCATTTTGGTGGGCTATAGCCCATGCATTTT